TCCAAGAAGCTGTAGACACAGCGGCCTCACCCTGGGCAACCACATCAGTGGGCTAAACCTAAAGAAGGGGACTACATCTACGAACATATGTAGAGTAGTTAATGGATGATTCCCATTAAAAAAAAAGTCTATATCGGTATAAATCATTATTTTTAAGTACCGATGTAGCACGGTAATGTGAAAAACCTAAAGGGCGCTTGTCAGAATCCATTTAGTGACCTGCGGTCTTTTCACTGCATCGCGATCTTTGCCAGTCCAGGTTCACCGGTCTATTGGGCCACAGAGGAAAGGACGAGTGAAGTGGACTTGCATCCGCGCAACCGCTTGTCCACTTTAAATAAGTTCACGCGCAGATGACCCTAGCTAATGTCTTTGGATTTGAGCATTATAAAGTCCTGCAGCGATGGGGTGTTGGCGGTGGGGTTGAGGTATCGATGTACCAAGGCTTCAGTTGACACCCTGCACGTAGGCGGCCAGAAGAGAGTGGTCGCTCCCGGGGTCGACCGAGGCGGGACTCTGGGTTCGGCAGCACAACTGGCAACAAAGCAGCCCTCTTTAGGATCGCTCTGCTTTCCTCTGCATGGAGGAGGGGCCTAGAAAAAGTGGCCCAAACATAGTCCGTCTCACCTATCCCCTAAGTGCCTAACCGCGGGCGCTTAGGCATCGGTAAATGCGGTCGAAAGATACGAAATATTAATATACGAAAGTTAGGAACTGAACAACAACTTTGCATAGCTACCTGGAACGTACGAACTTTACTGGACAATGATCGCAACTTATGTCCAGAGAGAAAGACTGCTCTCATTGCACGGGAACTGGCTAGATATAAAATTGATATAGCTGCAGTTAGCGAAACGCACCTGAGCGACTGTGGAGAGATATGTGAACAACTTGGCGGCTATACGTATTACTGGAGCTGACGTTCTGCCGGTGAAAGAGCGGGCGGCGTGGGTTTTGCTATTTGAAACAGTTTGGTGAGAGATCTGAGTGACTTACCCAAGGATGTCAATGACCGCCTCATGACTCTGCGCCTATCAATCTCAAAAAATAAATACGTCCACATGAAAAATAAATACGTGCGCATGTCTGCACCTCAGATACAATTGGCAAACCACAAAAAAGAAATCAAGATTGGTTTGATGCATCAAATAACACAATCCGAGAGCTTGTTGAAAGGCACAGACACGAATTAAACTCTAAGTCTGTGGATGCCCGTAACTCAAAAGGCTCATCACAGTCTCAGAGCTAAGGTTCGCGAACTGAAAGATAATTAGTGGAAGGAGAAAGCTGCTGAATTACAGCACTGCGCTGATACTCATCAGACTGGTAAGTTTTTCGAAGGCATTCAAGCCATTTTTGGCCCACGAGTCAGGAAAACAGCCCCCATGTACTCTAAAGATAGACAAAACCGAGTTACAAACAAAAATGCCTTATTAAAGCGTTGGGCGGAGCATTTCAGTGACGTTTTGAATCCCACAGCGCTCAGTGCAAATCTATCTTACATAAACTCGCTCGAACAACTACCAGTCTGTCAAACTCTAGATGACCCACCGACCTTCGAAGAGTTTGTTGGGGCAATTAAGCGGCTTAAGAACTCAAAGGCACCTGGAATGGACCAACTTCCAGCCGAAATATACAAATACAGTGGGAAAAACATTGTTAACAGGCTGTACCATCTTGCCTTAAGAGTGTGGGATACTGAAGAGGTGCCTCAGGGCTGGAGAGACGCGGTAATTTGTAAGCTGTACAAAGGGAAGGGAGTTGTTTCCGATTGCAGCTCTTACCGAGGTATATCGCTCCTCTCTAGTGCCGGTAAAATTTTTGCACACATAATCAACGCGCGTTTATCCAAATTAGCCGAACAACTGCTCCCAGAAAGCCAATGTGGATTCCGTCCAGGTAGGGGAACCATTGACGCTATAGCGGTTGTAAGGCAATTACAAGAAAAAAGCCTAGAACACCAACGGCCACTCTACATGTGCTTTGTAGACCTGGAAAAAGCATTTGATAGAGTCCCGCGTGAGGCACTCTGGCTTGTCCTTAAAAAATCTAGATATCCAAAGAAGTTTGTAAACCTGATTCGCTAATTTCACGTAGGTATGAAAGCACAGGTTCAACACGAAAGCGAACTCTCTGAGGAAATCGAGATTACGAGCAGGGTCAAGCAGGGTTGTGTCATGGCACCCACACTTTTCGGTAGTCATGAGAGACGCTTTACAGCGCTGCAGTAACCAGATTCAGTTGAGCTTCAGATCTCTATTCTAGAGATACTTTATGCTGATGACGTATGCCTCATGTCTGATAATATTGTAAATCTCCAGAGCTACGTTGACGCGCTAAACCGATCTTGCCAACAGTTCGGCCTGGTTATAAGTTTAAGTTATAAGTGCTTCTAAAACTCAGATCCTTAAATAACCGCCGAGAGGAATTGAAAGCGATCCAACAGAGCTGAATCTAAAAGGGAAACCATTAGACGAAGTCTGTTACTTTAAGTACCTTGGAAGCACTATCCGAAAAGATAACACCTTGGCTTCGGAAATACCATCACGCATCGCCAACGCAGCAGCCAATTTCGGGCGACTCAATGACCGTGTCTGGAAGACCCATGATCTCAAGTTAGAGACAAAGATCAACGTCCACAAAGCTCTAATCATCCCTGTCCTTTTATACGGAGCAGAGACATGGTGCCTCTACAAAACTGACATTAAAAAGCTAGACACTTACCATCTTAGGTGTCTGAGATACATTCTGAAGATCAAGTGGCAGGACCGAGTTCCTAACTCTGAGGTTCTGCGTCGCTCTGCGTCGCTGCGGAATGTACGGCATGGAAGCTCTCCTAATGCAACGTCAGCTCAGGTGGAGTGGGCATGTCCTTAGAATGAACGACCACCGCTTGCCTAAAGCTGTGTTCTATTCAGAATTAGCCGAGGGTAAGCGGAAGCATGGTGGTCAGTATTTACGCTATAAGGACGTGCTCAAACGACATCTGAACGCATGCGCTATTGATCCTTTGTGTTGGGAGTAGCTAGCAGCTGACAGATCGTATTGGCGATCTACCATCTTTAGTAAGGTTAAACTCTTCGAACAAAACCGCTTAACAACCCTAGACACAAAACGCCAATTGCGAAAGGAGATGCCTAAACCTTCCTACGTGTACACCTATAACACGAATGGCCAACTCTACTGTTCCCCGTGTAAAAGAGTTTTCAAGACTAAGTTTGGCCTAGCCAGCCATATCAGAGCTCACAATAGGGCAAATCCGTAATTGCTATGGTCGCCGTCATCGAAATCGATGAGGAGGACTATATATATGTGGAATACCAGAAAATTTTGAATCTCTTATTAAATATCAAAATTTTCCACAGACAGAGCTATTTGCAAGTATCTTCTTCTTTTTTGATTAATGGCCTCTCTTAGATTTTGCAAGTATCTTATTAGTAGCTGTCTGACATCGCTGACTTGTTCAAGAAGGGATACAACTAAGTGCATTCGGGTATTTACGAAACGATTTGAGAATAGTTGACGGTATGTTAGAATTTTCGTTTACCAGTCAGAATTGGTGTAGTTAATGCTATCAACTATGGTCGCATAGTTAACTTGAATATACATCTTAAAACATTATTCCAATGACTATTATTAATATCCTCAGTATTTTACAATAAAACTATTTCAAAATTAGATTCTTTTTGGTTGTGTAAGTGTAACTCCGAAGTATGCTAGGGTAATTCTGAATGACATTTAAAACTGAATTTTACTGAGCTGTAACAAAAGATATATATTTCTTTTTCGTCCTCATTTACCCTTGCAAAATATATTGTTCCCTACTATCCCCTGAGTAGCTTAAACATACTCATGTGACATTTATATTTCGGAATTACGCGATATTTAGTGCAAGTTCGGTCTACGGTTCCCAAACTTTAGGGACCATGGTAAATGATAAAGTATGTGAAATAAAGTGAAAAACTAAGAAGTATCAAAGTTTTATTTAATTAAAGTAAAATAATGGAATTATTGAGATCCAACATAAATGATTCAAAGCATAATTGAGTTCTGAGTGGCAAAATAAATATAACTAAATAAAAAAAAATTGTCACCCAGTTCGAAACATTAACTTAAAAATTCACAGTGTGCTCTTTCTGCAAACTACAGACAATTCGAGTCATATTTTTGATAATGTAATCTTGTAAATTTATCTATAATTATGAATAATTAATTTAAAACATGTTTAAAACTTTAGATTATTAGTGTAATTAGCAAGATTTTTGCCAAAAAAAATTAGAAAAAAATATGTAAAAAATACCTAATTCACTACCATTCTTCCGACGAATTTAATGACACAAATTTTGTGAATTAATAGGCCGCAATAAAGTGACTTCTCAAAGAATTGGCTATATTCAAAAATCATGAAGCCGAAAATAGTCACTCAGACTCACCAATTTGAAAATAAACTAGTACATTTAAACAAACAAGAATTAAAATATTTAGAACCACTGACTTTTCTTAGAGAAAATCACTATCGGGTAAATCCGAATTCTCCATAATTCGGATTTACTCTCTTCGACTAATCCCGAAAAAAGCAAAATAAGTGGAGGTAGAGCTTTCAAAACCTGCATAAGAAGTGCATAAAAACATAAAATTATCGTAATAAAAACAATTAGTTAAATAACTTTCTAGGTTTCTTTATTACGAATGTTCGGGTAATTCTGATAATCCTAAAAAGGCGGAAAATTGCTCTCAATCATAGAAATGTTGCGTTGAACACATGCACTCGCTCACACCTACCTGAATCAACTGAAGTGGGGAAGCGTATTAGGATGGCGGCTAGGTGAACGTTGCCAGAGCAAAATTATTACCGTATTTCATAATAAAAATTGTGATTATCAGAATATCCCGATTTACGGAATCAGCCGAATTCACCTTACATAACATTCGACTGCAGCAGGAATTGTTTGAACCGCTTTAAGTACGAGAATCTTTCTCAGAGGCAAGATGAAGGACTACACAAATATCACTTTTAGAGGTTCTTCAAGGATACCTAGTGTGGTGACGTCCACCTAGAAATCACCGACAAGGACATATAGGACGAACAAGGCTGTTCCTTTAACGGCTCGGGACGAGCACATCGTGGAGGGGGATAAAGTTACGATCAGGGGTTTTTTGACGTCTTAAATATCAACGATATAACCTGCGATGACAGTTTCGAATGATGTATGATGTGATTTAATTTTAATTAGTAGTGTAGATTGATGGAAAGTTATTTCGGAACTTTCTATTAATTTTATAATTTGTTTTTTTTCTATTCTAACTTTTTATTAAAAAGACGATCGAAATCCTGAATGTTCTAAACGAGAAATTCAAATCTATGCTATAACGTTTTAGCCACAAACACGAAATTCGGACAAGGCCGCAATGAGACTCGTCGTCGTACCTGTAGTAGTAATTGAGGATTTGAGCGGGCTGCCGCACACGTTTGTGGGAGTACTTTAGTGAATATTTAAAGAACCAGTGATTTACTCCAATCCCGAACCCCAATCTAGTAATAATAACTTCATATAATAAACGAGAAAAAATAAAAATGCCAAAAAATAAAAAAATTAATCATGTACTTTTTACAATATTTTGCAAGACAAAAAATACACATTAAAAAATATAAAACAGCAGTATAAATTTATGAATTCTTGTTAGATTTTATTATTATAATAATTACACACACCCATCAGGACATTAAATTCGTTTTACTTTCGATTAAGCACTTTAGATTAATGAAAGATCGATTGAAAAAATTGACTATAAAAGAATTTAATACAATCCTGATTGTCTAGTACAACTTCATGCACTTCAAACACCGCCCTCGCTAACCACTGAAATACTTTTATTTATTGTTTATTATCATATTGATTTCATAAAAGCATGATAATAATGTTTTTCTTCTAACTCTTCTAAGTCTTGTAACTATGCAAAATTTAAATAGTAGGGAAGTCACTGTGTAGCTCACGCTGCAGCTTCTAATGTTGGGTAGGCTCATCCGTGGACAAAAGACCAGCCGCGCTGCTGTCGAGGGACGCATTAACATAACCTACATTTTTAAATCCAAACATGCAATGTACTCCATGTTCATTTCGTTAACATCTTCGGATTGTAAGGTTATTTGTGGAATGTTTAATTTGTGAGTTATCAATAATTAAAGTGGTGTAAGCCTACTTTTTGTCGTACAAGCGATCCATTAATCACAATTCACCGCGACGACGAAACCCAGAGTTGCAAGACCTGTGTGATAAGACCTTAAAGAAATCATTTCACATATTTTCTATTGTTTTTATTTGGTCCCAATTGTAAATATTAGGATATTCGAATATTGAACTGGAATTTTATTGCTGGTTAAAGTATCAAAGTAACGTAATGGATATTACGAATAATATCTTCTCACTTCGGACAAAATACTTTCATATGTCGACTCGTCAACTATTATAAATCTTTTGGCCCGTCTACTGAAATAAAATATATCTCCAGTATAAATATCAAACCATAATGCATGAATATGTAAATCGTGCTTCTCTAGTCTCTTTTTAAGCATTCCATAGGAAGCTATATTTTGTAGCTGTTGTAATGTGTTGACCTTAGAAAAAAGGGAGATAATATATTTTTTTACATTATGAAGAAATTGAATTTTATGCAAGACTTTTAATTTTATCAATGTTAGTATTAACAAGCCAGTACTAACCTGTGATAATTTATCCTCTATACAAAATTTATTTTCGGGGTCAATATACGCAACAAATTTTCTATGTGGAGTTTCAGCAGTGAAAAGCATTGGTTTATCAAAGTCACCGTCCATTTGTAGAAATTTTTCAAGACTGGTTTGGCCATGCGTGCATAACCACGACTTAAGTGGAGATATCCGCCTTTGTTCCTGGGGAAAATTTTAATTTTTATCAAGCGATTGTTTTGCTGACAATTAGGCAAATTTTATTTTTTAACTAATATTACGTCCTTACATATGAAATTGGCGTTCTGTACGGGAGGAATATAAAGTCATTTTTTTTTGTAAAATATATTTAATTAATCAAACTATGCACTGTTGTTATCTATGTACTTTTGCCATCTCATAGTTAGTTCATTGATCCCTTTACTAAAAAAAACATGGGGGCGAGAATCAATAAACTCCTTGAAGGCGGTTTGGACTGCCGCATCGGAGTTGATTTTTTTCCTTCTAAGAAGTTGTCCAAATTCCGGAAAAATGGTAATCTGTTTTAGCAAGGTCCGGGGAGTACGGTGGATGTTGCAGACATTCTAATTGTACCTCATCTAACTTAGTGGTTGTTTGTTGTGCAGTGTGTGGTCTTGCGTTGTCGTGAAGCAGTAGTGGCCTAGAGCGATTGACCAATCTCGGTTGTTTAGCAGCTAGTTCTTCCTTCTTGGTTTGCAGTTGCTGACAATAGATATCTGCCGCAATCGTTTCGCCAGATTTTAGAAAGCTATAGTGAACGACACCGGCGCTAGTCCACCAAACACTCACAAGCACCGGTGCTAGTACACCAAACACTCACAAGTAACTTTTTCTGAGTCAATTTTCGTTTAGGGCAGGATTTGGCTGGGTCTCCAGGGTACAGCATCGACTTTTCATCAGAAGTAATGATTCGATTTAAAATCCCTTCACTATTGTGTCGGTGGAGCAAACTAACACAGCAGTCGACGGGTGTTTGCAAGTTCGATTCACTCAATTCATGAGGTACCCATCGTTCAAGTTTTTTTACTTTCCCGATTTGCTTCAAGAGGATTAATACAGTTTTATCACTTACCCCGAAGCCTGCAGCTATTTCTGAAGTGCGCATTAAAAAAATGGATCCGCTTCCACAATAGCCCTTAATTCTTCGTTTTCCACTTTGGTCTCCGACTGTCCACGGGGTTGGTTCTGAAGGTCGAAATTTCCAGAACGAAAACGTTGAAACCAAAAACGTACCCTGCTTTCTTTTGCGACACTAACACTGTACACATCATTAATCCTTTGAGCTGTTTCTGCAGCACTGGTGGCACGGTAGAACTCATACTCGTAAATATACCGATATTTCGTTCATATAACGGTAATAACCAACATATACCAATACATAGTTCATATACCAAACATTAAAATAATGAGGAAAAAACAAATGAATTACTTAAATGAATGACAAAACTCAAATGTACCAGCTAAATGAATTTATAAATTTGAATTTGCAATTCTTAACCAAAGAGGAGATAATCCAGATCAAAATGGTAAGTACCACAAAACGCTAGTTTCATATGTAAGGACCTAATAATATATTATTATTATTAATATTACATGTTAGTATTATAACATCATATCACAATTATGGAATAATCGGTGTGAGATATACATTTTCTATGTCCTTATTTCTGAATAACATGTCCAATTAACCACGAGAAAAACTGTAATAAACACTAACAATATTAGATTCCTTTTCACTTTTCAGTTTATATAAAAGGTTCATCGCTTTGCAGTCGCTATGTCCACAAACTATCACATGCCTTATGTCATTAATAATACAGCTGAGCTCCAGACCGGCTGGTTCACAACTAGTCATTTCATCCCCAAAATGTTGAGAGTGCGGAATTAAATTTCCAGCATTCCGTACTGAAAAAGGGAATTAACAAAAAAATTTAAGTTCACACGTCATAAATGGCCACTTAGCAGAATATGTTGCTTGTTTTCTGTCAATAGTTAGCAGGCGGTTCACGGTATGCTAAGTGATTACTGGATAGGAGCCCATGGACATCGGATCTTCAACGCCTGATGGATTGCTGAGATGCCATCAATTAAAAAAGTAGGTGTTGTAAAAACTGGCCAACTCTATTAAGGAGTGTAGAGAAATGGAGGACGATCCTTTATGGGAATAACTTGAAAAAGTAATAATTGATTATCTACATATCAGAGTTTAATTTTAGGTAGCCAGTAAGCATGGTAACTATTAATTCATCACCACTATCTAGCACCCAATACCGTAACACCGCCATTTTAATGCTTTTCGACTTTTACACAGAGAATGTTCTCCTTACCTCTATTCTCCTTGAACTAGACATAAAAAATTACTACGGCCTCCTACAATACATACATTAAAATTAAGTGGAGTTTGCACACGCATAAAGTTGCACCCTATAGACTTATTATAAGTACACATTTGTTTTTATTATTATTCATCTTAAAACATCTAATCCTTGTACATAATTTTTAATCATTAAATGTTTTTAATAATAAAATTAGTTTTCCCATAATTGTCACAATGTTTGACTACAAAAAAAAATTAACACAAACTAATAACAAAAATGACCTACCGACAAACATATCTCCAACACTCGTTTCAGTAAATCTCGTCGGGATCATTCTGCTGTCCATACAAGTGTAAAATATTGCTTTAGGCTAAAATTTTAAATTCCAAATTAGCTTAAAGATATCATAATTAGATACACACGTGAGACAATGCAAAGTAAAAGAAAAGGGACAAAAGTGTTGTACGGAGCATCTGGCTTTGCCTCTTATAATAATGTAACTTTTGTCCACCTTGTTGTCTATGCTAGAGTTGATTTTGTTGTTATTGTCAAAATAAATGTCAATAAAATTAAATTAGGCAGTCAGAGATTTGTAAGATATTTATTAGACTCTAGGTGCCACAATTTCCAAGAAAAAGGAAGAAATACATTTAACTTCTGTTCAGTAATAGCAATTTATATCCAATACTGTCTAAAAGTTTATAGTAATCACTGATAGGAACAAGGTTAGTTAACAGTTATTACTTACTACAGGATGGTCGCGTACTTCTTCAAATTGTTTAACCATACTTGCACGATCTAACACACGATACCTCATAATGCCTCGCAGAATCCTTTCCATTGTATAATTAATTCAAAATACAATATAATGCTCAAAAACACTAGCTTACCTCTAAGTTTTGAAAACAGACTTGCTTTACCCTGTATTTGACATTACTGACCTTCATTAGCTATGCTTATCGAAATAGTTTGATGTATTAATAAAACATAAATGAGTTTCTCAATGACATGTAAATAAATCCTTAATGTAAATTTAGATATTATTTTTATTATGGGTAATCGTAAATTGTTCTTAAGCTTTCCCTTATATTTTTATTTTAGATGAGCATAGAAAAACCCATTGGAGATGGAGCGAAAAATGCGGAATACATTTCATGTTCTAATCATAGATTTTTAGAGCCTGAGAAGGCAGTTAAAACAATCACTGATATGGCTATATGGGAAAAGTCTGAAGCATATATGGAATACACAGGTTTTATAGCCACACTCAATGAAGCAATCAAAGGGAAACCACTTTCGGTTGATTGTAAGGTATCTGAAAATTTATTGAAAATTATGAACATGCTGGATAAAATTGAGACATTAATAGACAAATTTCCACCTGTTGAACAACCGCAAAGATTTGGAAATTCTGCATTTAAGGATTGGCTTCAACAGGTTAAAACTAATTCTACACTTTATCTGCAAGATGCTTTAGATACAAGATTCCATTTAGCTATACCTGAAATTAAATCATACTTGGAAGAAAGCTTTGGAAATGCTACTAGAATTGATTATGGGACTGGCCATGAGATGGCATTCATCATGTTTTTATGTTGTCTGTATAAAATTGGCTGCCTTGTACAAGAAGATAATGTTGCAACAGTTTTTATGTTATTTAACAAATATCTTAATATTGCTAGAAAACTGCAAAAGACGTACAGAATGGAGCCAGCAGGAAGTCATGGTGTATGGAGCCTGGATGATTATCAATTTGTGCCATTTATCTGGGGCAGTTCACAACTCATTGATCAACCCAAAATATATCCACCCACAAAGTTCTTAGATGATGAAGTAGTGGATAAATTTGCTGATGACTACATGTTCCTGTCTTGTATTAAATACATAAAGGAGGTAAAGAAAGGCCCATTTGCAGAGCATTCTAACCAACTTTGGAGTATCAGTGCTGTTGGGTCATGGTCAAAAATAAATCAAGGTCTTATTAAGATGTATAAAAAGGAAGTGCTTGCCAAGTTTCCTGTAGTCCAACATATATTATTTGGCTCACTTCTTCCAATACGTAGATTTCAAATCAACCAATAATTTCATTATAATTTGTTTCTTGTCATCATAAATTATTGTTATAAAGTAATATTTAAAGCTTTCTAATACTTTTTTTGCCTTCTACATAGTTGACCAGTATTAATAAATTATTTTAGGTACAACTGAAGAAGACAATCAGTAATTGAATATTTGAATGTTAATAAAATGTGATATTTACATCCTAAGAAAATCATTTGGTAATGTATATATTCTAAAAGCGCATAGATTTTCTACATTGTTAAGAATGATTAAAAATTGGAAGAATAACAGTTATTTATTAATTTCACTTTGCCATATTCTAAACAATGTTTAACAAATGCCGAAAATAAAATAAATGAATGTAATCTTACATCATCTGATAATTTTCAGCAATAATAATTAAAAGTGTCAGATATATTTTGCATTTTAATTCACACCATATCATATGATCAACCTGGCAATTAATAAGTTTAATAAAGACAATTACTTTTAGCTTCTTCTTTGACTTAAACAAGGTTATAATTGAAGATAATCAAATAAAAACAAAACATTTTGCCTACGGCAAGAAAAATATTTTTATTACTTCTGTGAATTACAAAAGTTATCATTTTTAAACTTAAATACTAACTCAGGCACCTAAACACCCAATAGGCAGTAACAATTATTAAGTATAGGTACTTTATTTGGAAGTATGAAGTATTCAATGTAGCTGTATATGCAAGCTCCAAGCAAGAGAATATAACTACTATGTGGCTCCAACCAAAAATTGTTATGATGAGTTAAGGTAAACAAACAATTTAATATTGTAAAATTACTAATGTTCAGTGAATTTCTCTTAATCTTTTGTCACAAACTTAGGGACACATTTTTATCTATGTAATTAGTTTATATTTAGGTAATAGTTGTGATTGAAATAACGTCTTCTGGAATATAATAAAGATTCAGAAAATTAATAAAAATATTTTATCACAATAATTTTTTTTGTATAAATATACTATGTATTTACATTTAACTGCACTAATAAAAGAACAATATAAATAAGTGCACAATAACCTATTTCTTAATGCTCATTGACCTTCGTAATAACGTTTCCGGTTAAGTTAAGGTCATTTTTTTTGGGCTTATTAAAATAATTATTGAAAAGAGTGTATGCCATTCCAACTGTAATGGCTCCCACTGCAATTCCTTGTGAGATGACGCGAAATTGCATTAGGTACACGCTCGTACTCATCTTGCCGCGGTTCCGATAACTGTAAACTCCATATCCGACGGCAGACGCTAATCCCGCCAATCCTAAAACATGAAAAATAAGGATTAATAATAAATAATTGCCATTTACATTCAAATAATGTCCTTAAAAAACAATAGAACTAACGTTTATACGTTAAATGTAAATAGTTTGAGTAATGACTCGAAAATACTAGGTAGGTATCTCTTTCATGTAGGTATTTATCATGCTGAGTCTTTAAATATCTTAGGTGGAAAAGCTTTTGTAGTTACATCAAATATTGTGCAATTGAAAAGTTATTTCTGCTCTTATCCCAAATCCGAACAGAATACGTAGGTATAACTACATCGCTCTTTATTTCAGAGAAAATCATTAACTGTTAGAAATTATAAAATATCGCAGTTTTCTAGCCCAATTATTCAGTAGCAGAAGATGCCGTAACATTAGAATAGTTAATTAAATTTATAATATATTATCACTAAACTAAAATCGAGATTTTGAACTTGTGATTATCGTTGTGGCCACACAAGGCTATCGATATTTTTCCGTGATAATAAAGCGTTTAATATAATAGATACACAGCAAGACTTATGTGGAAATTTTATGAAATATTACGTAATGATTATATTAAGTAATAGTTTTTCGATTATCGCATGTTCCTGGCTGTTTCCTAGATTTTTTTTTCAAACATAAATTCACAATGATTTATAATTCTGGTATAAATTCTTATACAATCTATTGTCATGTGAGAAACTTGTGGATATCTATGGATACATGGGGTTGTAGATTTATATAGGTCTTGATTAATTCACTCACTAAGAGTAGATAAAAATGCTTTGTTTTAGATCGCTATTCTGTGAGTACATGGTGCTTCGCCAGATAAGCCACTTGTGCAACAGCTGTTATTGTTGTACCTAAGCTTCACCCACATTAAAAAAGTAAAAATAGTACACATATAAGTAATTCAAATATTTTATACTCACCAAAAATCATAAAAGGAGATTCTTTCGATTTTCGCGCTAACCTTTCCCCATGACTCTCTTCGTGGTAATCAAACGTTGGTTTCTGATCCATAGTCTGAAGAAGAATTAACAATTTTTAGCATTCACAGTTTATTCTTTATTAAAAACGATGACTTTTTTAAAATAAAATTATATTATTTTATATTGTGTTTATTTTGTTTATAAATCTCTGACGTTGCGAGCTCTGCAGCGTTCATGGTCAAAGGACGGACATTCCTCTCCTTAACCATTATATCAATGATGTACGAACACTATAGTGTTAAAACAGTTGTATTGAAGCAACTATAGTTTTACCATAAACACAAGAAATCATTAACTAAAGCTTTTATCATTCTCTATATTTATTCAAATACATAAATATACCTAAATACAATCGTATAAGCTTAAAGCAAACAAAACTCACCTTTAAGGCCAAGGATAAAATTAGCTAAATATATTATCTGAATTGCTGGAGGGATCAACTTTAAACGTGTAGAGTCAACGGAGAGTAGCGCACAACTAAACTTGTGGAAACACCCAGCTTGTTACGGTATCACGTGGAAATTCACGTATCTATCGCAAATGATTTCATTCATTGAACGGATGACTGCAAACAAGAAGTTCAAGGAAAGTTTAAAATTTAAATTGGTTTTTCTGTAATATTGTTAGAGTTAAGTCTATTCGTAGGCGTGGCCAGGTGTTTGTGTATTAGAGTTACTTCTAAGTTGTAGTATTGATTCTACTTTGTATAAGTATTTACTACTATTACATAGTAAAATTACAGAGGTTTCGAATTAAAGCGAATTGTAGGATATTAAATTTACGGTAACATATTAAATAAAAAAAACATTTAATAAAAAGTCTGATGTATCTGATAAGCTGTTTACCTTTCTGATAATATTGATAATTGAATGAGATAAGCACATATTGCCGTCCGCAAAACTATCGTGTGCAGTCAGCTGTGTCTATATACGTGCGTATGTTAGATATGATGGACAGGCCCCAGGGACAGGACGATAAAATGAAAATCCGATTCACATCATTAACGTTTTGAATAATTTAAAAATTAATGTTACATTTTAAGCGATACTGGGCATAAAATTATTGTGAGTAAAGCAGATCCTTTTAAACATGTAATATTCTAGATTAGCAAAACATTACTGCTAATTGTTTTAAGTTTCATTAATTTATAACAATAGAAACTATAACCCTCATGAGTTATAGTCTACATCTGCGTTTCGGGGCGGTTTTCACCGCTCCTAGCAAACCATTAACGTAGATAACAACCTAGCTAAAAAGTACGCTTGTATACATGCGTGGAAAAGAAATTATGAAGAGGCCACTCCACGTGCTTTATCTTTTATATAAAATTCTCGTGTCACGGTGTTTGTAATTGAACTCATCCGAAACGGCTCGACCGATTTTCGAGAAATTTTGTTTGCATATCGGCTAGGGTGGAGAATCGGACAACATCTTCATCTCTCCATCATCTTTTTCATCCCCCCAAATGTTAAGGGTGCTCTACCCTCAACAGGTTTTTCTACCCTACAAATTCCCTATAAATAATTTATATGGCAGAACAACGTTTGCCGGGACAGCTAGTATTCTATAAAACTTTACGATTTCGTCGTCTCTACTCTTTATTACTGCAAGCGAAAACATCATCCAACGAAGACAAGATAAATCTCAGCCTGTCCTGCCAATATTGACGACCCGAATGGCGTAGTGGGCAGTGTACCTGCCTCTTGCGCCAGAAGGTGTGGGTTCGATCCCCACTACTGGAAAAATATTGTGTTATGAACATAGTGTTTTTCTAGTATCTGGGTGTTTATATATGTATAATATGTATTTATTTACAAAAGAAAAAGTATGTTGAAGTATGTTTATCTGTTATCTAGTACCCATAGTACAAGTGTTGCTTAGTTTGGGACTAGAGAACGTTGTGTAAAAATGTGTCCTAAAATATTTAATATTTATTTATTAATATTATTCAACCGTTTTGTACAATTGGTTGCTGTATGATAAAAATAGAATAGCTTCGTTCATTGGTATAAACTCACCCTCACAAAATAAGATAAAAATTCGTGCCAATGGATGGTATAATAAAATCGGTTAGATTTTATAGTATACGAGTGACACCTGTCTTCACGGTTTGATATTGTTAATAGGAGTTTTAAGCGTGGATTTTTAGCGTTTATTCGGCGATAAATAATATTTAAAAAAAAGAAATAACACAACGTGTAGACTTATTGACGCTGGAAGTTACCTTACACGTACTCTATTTTGATTAGTTAAATGTCTTACTTCACTGGGATCTTTTTAAATGTTATTAAAGGTAGCTTTTCGCCCGCGGCTCCGCCCGCATGTACTACATTTTATATCGCGCTTGAAAAGTACTACGGAACCCTTAGTGCGCGAGTCCGACTCGCACTTGATTTTTTAAAATTGTATTAAACATTTACATTCTTTAAACATCAATATTTACCGAGTTATTAAATTTTCCAAAACAAAGAATTTTAGTACACGTTTACGTATAAAACTGTAACGTAAAGTTCATTTGTAAAGGTCACAAAGCATATGAATGGGTTGAATGAATTTAAAAGAGACTAAACATACTATTAGGAGAGGCATGTAATGCGATGCTGATGCAACGAATGAAAAAGTCTCTGAATGTGTGAATCAGTCAGTTGTAGTTGTATAGGCTGTTACAAATTTTGTTTCTTTTTTACTTAATTAGTTTGTTTGAAAAATATTTTTTTTAATTATGGATGTTTTTAACGTTAATATTTTTTATGATTATTGGCAATTAGCGTTACACGTGTGTTCATTTATTGTCGCGGTTATAACGACACGCTATATAGTTAACTATAGTTTCATCAACTGTAGCTATTATATAGTATTTTATCGCACAAATCTTCAATGATCAAAAAGTTGATATAACTTATTTATTTTTGAACCGATTCAAATGAACATAACACTAAATGTTAAGTTAAGCCGTTTCTGAGATTAGCGCGCACAAACAAACAGATAAAAATTTTAAAAACGTTGTTTTGGGTTCTGTTGCGTTGTTAAAGGTCCCCAATAATAGTTTTTTTCAAATATCTTCCATGTACAGACAACGATCAGTAACATTTTTGTTGCCCATATGTATAGATGTGTACACGCTTGTGTTTTTGAGCTCAAAATGTCTAGCGGTTGAATCCTATGCCATTCGTTGATATGTTCTTTAAACGTAAATTGGAGAGTAGTTTCTCTACATTTAAGGTAAATTTTATTCTGCTTAAACGATACGAAGGTTTTTGTATACGTAAAAATTATGTTTTTTATGAATTTGTTTCTCTACATTTATGATAAATTTTATTCTGCTTAAGCGATACGAAGGTTTTTGTATTCGTAAAAATTATGTTTTTTATGAATTTTTTTTATGTGAAAAGTTGCCAAAGGAGCAGACGGTTGACCTGATGTTAAGTAAATACCGTCGTCCATGGACATCTGCTACACCCGAGGGTTCCAGATCTGTTGACAACCTTTTGAAACCACCAGACGAAACGCGAAAGTATGACACTTCCACTTTACGTCGGTCTTCTGTGAGGTTGTGGTACATACGTGGACGAGGCTCCCGGGTAAGTACCGCCACTACTTGCCCGTTCCTGCAACAGCCGAGGCTGCTGCGTGGCCCTACCACAGCAATGCGTACATGCGACTGGATTATAAGCATAAATGTTTACAATTATAAAGCACGGATATCCTTGCAGACAGGGTTGCCGGAATGTGGAAATAAAAATATTTGGAAAAATAAGTAATAAAATTTATATTATACTAGGTCAAATTTTTGGGGCGATATGTAAATTGTATTGGGATAAATGGTAACGAAATTATTTTAAGCACGTACATTACTGTCCGATATTACTTACATAAGAGAGATAGATAAAACTTACACACTTTGGATAAGATGGATGGTTTTAAAGTTTCAGAATGCAGTTTTAGTTACTTATTTTAAATAAATATGTTATTATTAATTCAAAATTAAAACAAAGTTGTACATGTTGAAAAACTTTAAACCAGCAAACCAAAAACAATCACGGGGTAAATTTACTATAAGTGAATGTACAAGGTATTATTTCTTAATAATGAGGTAATAATTATAGGTATTATATTAACAAATTATATACACAACATTGTTACCTTTTTAAAATTGTAATATATATTAACATTTCTAATATAATATACATCGTGTCGTTACCAACGCAACAATAAATGAACACACATATAGAGGATAACTTTTTAAAATTGTATCAAAAATTTACATTCTTTAAACATCAATATTTACAGAGTTATTAAATTTTGCAAAACAAAAAATTTTAGAACATCCTTACGACGTAAAGCTCATTTGTAACAAAACATATGAATGGGTTGAATGAATTTAAAAGAGACAAAACATACTGTTAGAAGGAGAGGCTTGTAATGCGACGCTGTGGCAACGAATGAAAAAATCTCTGAATGTATGAATCAGTCAGTTGTAGTTGTATAGGATGTTATAAATTTTGTATCTTTTTTAACTTAAATAGTTTGTTTGAAAAATTTTTTTTTATAATTATGATTTTTTTAACGTTTATATTTTTTATGATTATTGGCAAGTAGCGTTAGACGTGTGTTCATTTATTGTCGCGATGGTAAAGACACGCTGTATATTTACCATGGACATTTATTACCTGGAACATTTTATTTGAATATAAAAAACATTCCGTGAAGCCACAAATTCTTCCATCGGCATTTTTTACATTTATTTATAGACAAATATTGTTCACCACTGTTCCTTTAAAAAAGTAAAACCAATTTGTCTCTTATTTAAATGTTTTACAGTCTTTTCGGAATTTACAATTTTAAAGGATGGAAATGTATGGGTAAATTTTGAGCAATTATAAAAAAATTACATAAATTATAGAAAAAAAAATACGAACGAAAAACTATGAATGAATTGTGAAAATCTTGCCACACCATGAGTTCTTTTTTATATTTAAAATATAGGCAATCATTCACATATTTTAGAGTTTTGTAGTATAAATTAAATTACTTAGTATGAATAATAGCATGCATATATATTAATTATGAACAAGAAATTATTAAACTTAAAAAATTAAAAGCTTTAAAAGAGGGGTATTGCTCATACACTTCATTACTAATTTTACATACTTGCGACAATTTATGTATTTGCTAATTACACGATAACATTACGCATTTGGTGGAGCTACATTGACCGACGATTAACCATTTTGTGCATCGGCAACGAATATTCGATCAGACGTATATCATACACCTAACCATTTTCCAAGAAATTGTTCAGGCAACGTGTTGCTCCCGTATTAGAAATATTGAGGTTGAAAACAGGTCATTTATATCAATTGAATTTAACAAATAGTGTTGTAAATTAAGTTTCTATGTGTGTACCTGTTCGTTATACAAAGTTGATTTATTCATTTTCTCGCTTCCTTACAATGCCTTATTATTTTACTTATGTTTCTTTATATAAACGAGTTGCTAAAGATTAGATCTACTGAATATTTCGTAGAGTCGGTAACTCTGAAACGCATCAGCAAAATTTTATAAACTCGCTAAGAAATACAACATTCAATATTTTTTTTCTACGAAATGAATTTCAATTTTTTTTTAATTATTTAAGATATCTAACTACAATGAATTAATAGTCTCATAATATTAACTAATTGTGAATGTATAACAGATGCTTTTGGAAGTTGTTGTAGTCGAAAATCTCATAGGTTCGGTAATTTATACTAATAACTATAATAGGCATTGCCTCTGCCCGACACTATTTTGATAGTTATATCAGAGTCGGAGAGAGAAGCCGCACCTTTGTGGAATAGCAATAAATTTTAATTATAATAGCAATAAACAGTGAGTTAAATTAGACAATTTAAAAGATAGTATGAGATTTCAAACAGCTAACTTTGAATTAAAACAAATTAAAGTAATTAAAAACAGTCACAATAAAAACAAAATTTGAAGAGAAATTTCAACACCGCACTCAGAGAGGCAGCCTTTAGTATTAAATACATAGTTTAATTTTTGTTAACAATACTCGACGATAGATATTACATACACATCTATCTCGGAAAAGAGACAATCGGCTAATTACGGTTTTCAGTTTTCGTAGCGCGTTATCTCTATCGCACACGTGTACATCACATGGGTAGTGTGTGACTGAGATGGTGCTCTAAGAAAGCCGACTGTCTCTTTCCCAATCAGTATTATTCAAATATCGCCCAGTGCTGTATTGCTGTCAGAGTGGAGTTTTATTGTTTAAAAAAAAGCTACAGAGAACCATTAGTGTATCTCGGCAAGGCAAGTTCGCCACAGTGCTTGGCACTGTTAACAAAACGATATCGTGTTACAGAGCTCCGCTCTCACTGGTACTGGCTGGGCGCGCTTGAGGACACTTTCTCCAGCTTCTCGAAGTGTTTCCTCGCGTTGCGTATATTTATTAGGGTCGCCTCTGACGGGATTTTCGGGTCGGACATCTCCACCATGACGTAGGTGTTGCTGGTGAAGCCGTCGATGAAGGCCGCGAACACGCTGTTCCTTACCTGTGGTGAAGAAATTCCGTGTTATGTTAAAACGCGCAGAATATCAAGAATTAGTCGAGTAAACATTTTTTTATTAATCTTCCACGTCCTCATCGACCCGGTCGAGGACATAACGAGCCCCGCAGTATGTAAGGAGAAGAGGGAGGAGTAATTGGTCTTGTAGGGGTATACCCCTAACCAATTACTCCTTCCTACCCTTGAAAAACGGCGAAACCATTATATTGCGCTTATAACAGCAATACAGTTTCTTTTGCTGGACTCCAGGGCTGTTCTCTATCAACAGCCAACGATTAATTACAGCGAATGGTCACAATTAAGACCAAACTTCGATAGTCGTGACACTGCTCCCCAATTATAGCCAACGAGGGCCGTTTCAAACTTGTAGGATCTGCTTATCGCGAGGCAGTGTTACAAACTGTGCAAAAAAAACCCCTTAAGCAATAGTAATCGTTTTTAATAGAAAAAGTTTTACCTGTACCCAATGTAATTTTCATCTTCGTATGTTTTGATAGCAATTTAAAAATTACTAATAACTAAATAAAAATAACAGCTCTGAATAAGAAAACAACACGGAAATTATTTTTGTATGGTGAACGGAAAAAAGTGATACGCGTCCACTTAGCCGTGCACCTCAGCGCGTTACAACACGCAGAAATGAAAATAAGCTACGGAACGATGGGGCAAGGTTCTTTCGACGTAATTTTACTAAATTAAATTAATAGTAATACAAACTTATTTCAATAGGCAAATAAAAACAATGGCAAATAGTAAACAATTATTTAAATATTTTACACCACTGATATAAATTTCATCAAGATTTGTTCATTTTCGGCAAGTTTCAATATAGGATTAATAATTTTTTTCTATCAAATTAAATTCTATCTACATTTAGATTTGGTCACTGGAGATATAACTTTGATTTGGAGCTGATGCCAAATACCTATCGCTAGTAATCAAATCAATCTGTAGATAGAATATTGAATCGGGTCATGTCTATGTCTATTTTTTTGATAAAATTTAATTTCAAAAGGTTTTGAAAATAATGGTCGACTCGGGTATATTTTTAATACATTTTTGCCGCTTAAAAATTCATAATTATGTTTAAAAAAAATATATTAATCCTATTTTGACTACTCACGCCCCGGTTTCTGAAACACTGATTATTGTAAACTAATCAGCTGTCAAATGGCTTGTCAAATGTCATTTGATTTGCCAAAAGGATGGTTAAACTCTTTGAATTGTTCAGAATGATCTGATTAGTTAATTTTTATGATGAAAAGTGTTTTCGAAACCGGGCGTCAGTATCTTAAGTTTTGATCCCATTGGCGGCATCAACAAATTGTCAATTTCAATTCTATATGCTGATTTACCAAGTGCTCATTGAGTGAAAATACCATGGTGAAAAGTTGATTAGTAATTGAGCTGTATTGTCAATTACTTTTCAATATTATTATTTTTCTTTATAAAGAGGGCCTTAAGGATTATTTTAGGTTATCACTTCAATGAAATTAGATTATATTACTTTACTATTACATTGATAAATATTGTACAGACCTCCATACTCTGGAACTGGGCGGCAAGTTTTGAGCAAGAGAGCTTAAACTGCTTCACTATATTGGACACTTTTTCAAAACGGTGCGCGTCCCGATGCTGTCTTCGCTGGCAATGCGAAACTACCAAGAAGGTAGCTCGTTCAAATAAGAGAACCTGCAAAAACAAAACTAATCTTATAGCTCTTGTAACTATAACATTAAAATTATTTCCCTAACTTATAATTTTGCATGTTGTTTTGCAGTACTACAGTACAATACAAAATAAAGAGGGCCATTCCTTATTTTAGAATTGTAATACTTACTTCATCAGCATCCACAATAGCAGCAAATTGTTTCAATGATGACTCCAAAGCTTTAACATTTGGAATCAATTTGTAAACTATGCTTGACCATGCCCTAAAAAAATAATTAACAGCATTAAAAAATCTAATCTACCTTAAGTTGTTGCATTTACTAGTTTTACAGATTTATAGTTGTGATGTTTCAGATTCAATAATCAGAACTTATCAAATATTTGTTGTATACAGTGAATATATGAAAAGTAAATAAGAACTGTAAGTTCTGAAGCACCGTATATCCTATTTTATTTGATGTATGTATTTCAAAACAAGAAAATTGTATTAATTTTAGATACTTACTTATACAAAGTCTCATCCCATATGCTAGTTCTAAAGCATGTGCACTCTAGAGGTTTGGAAAGTCCCTTTAAATCTTCTTCTCGCTCCTTAAATATTTCCTCTCGTCTCTCCTCAGCCACTAAATCCATTTTATGTACGAGGCAGAATATTCTGGCTTCTGGAGAATTCTTAAAATACGAAGAAACAATTATTTAATAAAAAAATTGGACATGAATTAATAATGATGTATTGAATTTACACAAAAGCACTTAACTGTGATTCAAAAATACTTTTAAGCATTCCGAGCATAAATTTAATTCAATACATGTTTTATCGACTAAGTCTAAGCAAACAAATAATTACCTGCAATATAGCCTCAAGACATGATTGATAATAATGCATGTCTTTTTCCATTTCTCTGCTTTCAACATCAAAAACATATATAAGGACTTCAACATTTCTGAAAATATTGTCCCTTTGTGATGCAAAATAATTTTCCATAAAAGCCTCTTGTCCTCCGCAGTCCCAAAGGTTGAGTACCAAGTTTCCAAGAAATCTTACATGTGAATGTTCAACATCAACTGGAATGTTGATTAATTTAATTATTGTAGTAACATATTATTTCATATTCACAGCAGTTTAAAAATATACATAATTGGGGCTACTGGAAATTTTTTGTCTGTCTAAGAGCGAGCAACATTTTCGAGAGAGAATTTCAGGTAGGCCTGTTTTTAGATATTCCATCTTTCTCTCTCCTGGACGTCATACGTACAATGTACGATGAGCAACGCAACATCTACTGCCAGCCAGATAGCCCGGGAGAGTGAGAGAGATAGCATATCTAAAAAGGGGCCTGTGTGAAAAATCTTGTTTTCCCGACGTTGCTAGCTCTCGTACGACTATATATTAAATTGATGGAAATATCATCAATATAATATATAGAAATAAAATATTTAATGTTAGCACATCCTGGAGTTCACACCTAGAGCCTTGACGGCTGCCAGTGTTCAGGCACTTGCTTATAATTCAAGTCTGAATGCGACCGGAGAATTCTGCTTGTTGATTAATTCATTAGTGATTTTTCTCTATGGTTTTCATTTTTTTTATTATTAGCAATTTCGAAAACACACTGAAATTTATCAAAATTACGTTCCATTACATGTTTCGTAAGTTTTGCCAGATCCACTTTTTCCCATCAAGAGTACCTTGAAAATTTGAAAGAAAATATATTAGTTATAATTGCGTGGCATCTTTTATTATATATATTAGTATGCATACATTTGCATCATTTTAATTACCTTTTTCTTCATGGTGATTAGTGTTTAAGGTCAAGGGTCTTAAATAAAAGATGGGTAAATACTCCAACTATAGATCTAATCAGACGCAGTTGTCAGTTTTTGTTTTTTAGAAAATAACTTCTGATTAAAGTTTTGTAATTTGTACGTAGTTAAAGAGCCAGGATGATAGTAGGCGTAGTAATAGTATTATAAAACTGCTTAACAGCTCACGAATTACAAATCAGTAGGGTACAACACAACGACTTTTAGACATCAGATGACACAATATGACAATCAATAGCAATACCCAATTACCCAATAGTAATATTAGCAATACTTTGTCATTGTCAGTGACAAATTGTCATATTGACAATTTGGCAAAGGTTGTAAGAACTCAGGAAGGGATGCCGGAACTGAAAAATTATATATCGATATATCGATATTTATAAAAATATCAGTATCGGCCTCGATATATCGAAGAGACAATGTCGATATATAAATATTTTCTTTTTAGACCCTGTTGTCCAAAAAAATGTATGCCAAATATTAAATAATATCCCGAAATTCGAATTTGAAAATATATGAAACGATTTCGATATTGAATATTTTATCGGATCAAAATATCAATATATCGATATTTTTTCGTCATTCCTAAACTCAGGTCAGGGCGGATTTTGTTTTATGAGAGGTAGGCATGAGATATACCTGCAACATTCTGTACCCGGCCTCAAAGGTACGGGTATCGCCGTATACCCGGTGCTAAAATCCGGTATCAAAATACCTATAGGTATTAGGTATGTTCAGGCGAGGAAGAGCAGTCCACCGATTCAATGCCGACAGGGGTTGAACGACGTGAGTCAACAGATTTACGAAGTCTTTCTCTTACTGAAGCTGAAGAAGCAAAGCTCTTATCATGTTTAGATGAACTGCGGAATATTTTGGGTGATACAATATCTGAAAATGTGCTTATTCAATCTGTGCTCAGTAATAAATTTGACTTCAATAAGGCATTGGATGAACTTTTAACAAATAACAAAAATAAAGACAAGGAGACTGAGAAAAGTAAGGAGCCACTGAAAGTTCCTCCTGTGGTTTTGATTGAGCCCATAAAAGCTGTTACAATTGTTGATTCAGCCCCAAAAGTTATTGCAACAAATGTTGAACCAAAGAAAGTTGGAGTTATTAAAGGCTTTAAAGTGGAACAGGATATCGGTTCTGGAAGTCGGCCACAAACACCCAGAGATCAATCGCCGGCTACCGAGAGATCTAATCAAGCTTCAAGCAAAGTTAAAGAAAAAGTTGATCCAAACAAACAATACTCTAACGAAAGAGGCTCTGATAAAGACCATCTATATATTGTTGTCATAGGACATGTAGATGCAGGTAAATCTACTCTTATGGGACGTCTGCTTTGTGAATTGGGTGAAGTAAGTCAAAGGACTTTACATAAATATGAACAGGAAAGTAAAAAGATTGGAAAGCAAAGTTTTATGTATGCTTGGGTATTGGATGAAACTGGAGAAGAGAGAGTGAGAGGTATTACTATGGATGTAGGGCGGGCACAGTTTGAAACCAATTCAAAGAAAGTTATAATCCTTGATGCACCAGGCCATGCTGATTTTATACCAAACATGATAACTGGAGCAGGCCAAGCTGATGTTGCATTATTGGTAGTGGATGCTACTAGAGGAGAGTTTGAGTCTGGGTTTGAGCTTGGGGGACAAACAAGAGAACATGCATTACTTGTCAGATCTCTAGGGATTAATCAGCTAGCAGTTGCTGTAAATAAACTTGATACTACCAACTGGTCAGAAGACAGATTTAATGAAATACTCAAAAAGTTAAAGCTTTTCTTAAAACAAGCTGGTTTTAAAGACTCTGATGTAACCTTCGTGCCTTGTTCTGGTTTGACTGGGGAAAATTTGGTGAAACAACCAACTGAGATAGAACTGTGCAAATGGTATAAAGGCCCTTGTCTACTAGATGTCATTGATAAATGCAATGTACCAGTTAGGCCTGTGTCTAAACCTTTGCGTTTGACAGTTAATGATATATTTAAGGGTACAGGTACAGGATTGTGCGTAGCAGGTCGTATTGAAACTGGTATTCTCAATAAGGGTGATAAGGTACTTGTTTGTCCAATCAAAGAAATGGCTGAAGTCAAAGGTGTAAGCATTAATGACATGAGCAGTAATGTTGCATTTGCTGGTGATCAAGTCAGTGTTACTTTATCAGGAGTTGACATTCAGAATGTTGCAGTTGGTTTTGTTCTTAGTGATCCCGTGTATCAGGTACCAGTAAGTTCTCGTTTCGAAGCAAGGTTGGTTGTTTTTAACGTGAAGGTACCCATTACAAAAGGCTACCCGATACTAATACACCACCAGTCTTTAGTCGAGTCTGCAAATATTGTTAAACTGAAAGCCTTGTTAAATAAAAGCACTGGGGAAATTCTGAAGAAAAAACCACGTTGTTTGGGCAATAATTCTGTGGCAGTGGTTGATATAGAAGTATGCAGACCAATTTGCCTTGAAAGATATAAAGATGTCAAAGAGTTGGGCAGAGTAATGTTAAGAGTTGCAGGTGTGACAATAGCAGCTGGTCTTATAACAGATATATACAACACTTGATGATCTGAATAATCCTGAAGATGCGCTTTTATTGCCATTCTATCTCATTACTGCATTAATTGGCAATAGAATATAAAAAATTATATTTATATGAGCTTTATTAAACTCCAAATGTATAAGTGATATATAATGTGCAAAGATGCAGATTCAATTGTACAATAAATGTTGTGCTATACACAGATGTAATGTATGTAATAATAATGATTATTTATATTCAAATAAATGTTGTTAGTAATTTTTTTTATTTCTCCCTATTCTCCTTTACTATTGTTTTAACATCGTAGAGCATTCTTTAATAAATTTGTAGGTAATTCATGAAGTCAAATTAATTTTATCCTAATTGTTTGTTGGACCACATGTTTAGAACAAAAAGTGACTTTGGTAGATGGCGCTTTCATATAGTGTTCATTACATTACGATATAGGTTTATTATGCCCTAATTTAATCTATTCGATACAGATGGCGCATTCATTAATTCAACATGTAAGATTGAAATAAGTTGTATGGAAATAGAACAATATTATTTATAAATTAAAATTATAAAGTAACTACGTATTTTTATTTCATTATCTTACATTATTTCAATATTTGAAGTGCCGATGGGCTGGCTATAGATAGAACATAACCGATGGGGAAGAAAGGTTTTTGAGCGGCAGCCTAGTACTGGCCATCGCAGACGCAGTATAGATGTATATATGTCTTATCTATGGTATAGAACGACCAGGGCGGGGGGTCATGGGGGTCATGACCCCCCCCTGGGCTGGGTCCAGGACCTAGGTGGACCACTAATTAAAATTGTTAAACATAATGTTTTATATATTTTTTGCCACAATATAGATTTTAAGTACCTTGAATATTTAATTAATTTAATATAATATTTTTAACCGACTTCAAAAGGAGGAGTTTCTCAATTCGATTGGTATGTACACCGATTATGTTGAGATTTATGATCCGATTTACGTGATTCTTCTTAAGTTTGATGCAGAATAATTGCCATTTGGTCCCATAAAAATTTAACAGAGTTTGGCTAAGTAGTTTGCGGAGAGATGCGTTTCTCCCTTATAATAAATTGGGCCTCGGCTACCTCACTTCTTTTCTGAGGTCTATGAGGCTATTCTGTGAGGTTCCTATGACCACCTTCCAGCTGGAAGTGGCCATAGGAACTCTGTAATGAAACGACTCAATTCAATCGAGTTTCGGCTCGTTTGATTTGTCTTTGCGAGAACTTTAGTTTTAGATGGTTACCAGGGTCTGATAACAGAGGTGGAATGTGGCCATAGGAACTCAGTAATTAAGGAACACAACTGCATCGAGTTTGATTCGTCTTATTGGGTGGACCGTTTTTGATGGGTGGTGAGCAGTGGTGTTTTAGTGGACGTGAGTATGCGACTCCACCTTTGGGAAATAAAGTTTGTTCGTTCTGTTTGTTATCAATGTGGATTCTGTCTTTGATTAGATAGATTAGATGAATATTATGAATGAATGAATTATTTTTTTTTTCTTATTTATG